AAAGGTCTGTGCTTCCAGAAAAACCCTTAAACCAGACACTTATCTCTACCAAAAAACAACAACCATGTTGTTTGGGACCAACATCTCCAGCTGATGCATGAGAGCGCTGGACATCGCAACCAATCACAGGCAGCTAATACTAAAAAGAAGCCACTGCGGTTGAAACGGATCCTATTAGGACTGAACGATAGTGAACAGTTTGGACAAACCTCCCCTCAGTCGTGTCTTATTCACACCAACCAGCCTATGCCCTGCACATGCTGCAGCACGGCCCCAGATTGTGGCTTGCAGTGTGTCCATGGTGAGAAGAATTATATTGACCTAATTCATATAGCCGGACCGTTGGATATTTGGTCATTGGCCGGCTCAGCTTGAGTTTGATCCTCTGAGCGATGCTGCGGCAGCTTCTAGCCTCAATAAATATCATCCTCCACTTCTGACAGAACTCATCTCTCGGTGAGTTATTAATACCAACGGAGCAGACAGGATGTTATGCACTGATTCTTCAAGCTCCTCATCAACAAAGCGACACAAGGAGAAGAAGGTCGCCTTCACTCCCTCTGCTCCATCTGTCCCTCTGTACTGCAGCCACAAGAGGACGGGCACCACATGGAAACTTGACAACTTCCAGCAATCCTCCAGGGTGCACTTTCTCAAAACATTAAAAATGCAAATTGTACACCAGTTATTTAATGCATCTCAGATTGGTGCTTGCATTAACGTCAAGCTAAACTCCTTCCGCTTAGTGCGTATATCCAAATATAGCTTAGCAAGCCCAGCTTATTATAACTTAAGCATGCAATTCCCGGGAGGAGAAAGGGGTTCTTTTAACAAAATCCAAAATTGCAATCAGAAATCAGCATAGACAATGAATAGGTAGAACATTTTATCTCTGGATTCCGGGACCCATTTTCTTTCATAAAGTGCTACAAATTTAAAGTGTTTAATCCGAAAAATTCACAAATATTGGGTGTATTTACTTTGTGAGCTGTTTGAAAACTAAAGTTGTACAGTCGACCTTTGAGTAGCAGTATGGGGGTACAGTAATAGAAATAGACAGGAAGTTATAATATAAACTATACATAGCCCCTTAGCCTGTGCGGGCTGCGGTGGAGAGCTGCTGCACAGCGTGAGGAAGCCCGAGCTCCAATTTGGATGTCAAACGGGACGTTAACATTTTGAACTCCTGTTGTTTTTCCTCAGAAAGCTCCACATATTGTTCTCATAAACTCGGAGGAATGAAACGTCCTGGGCTCTTTCTCCTCCACAATCCTCTCGAAGAGGCAAAAAAGACAATTTGGAAAGAGGAAAATGAATATCAGTGAGCAGTGGCATGTCTCTGGGCTTTATGTCTGCATTTCTTATCAATGGATGTTGTGATTTCATCCCGGTATGATTCTAATGTAACCTGAATGAAACACACGGTTAAAAATAACTGACATTAATATTATTTATATAATTTGTACCGTAGCTATTTGTGACTGTCACTTGATTAAAGGAAACCAAAAGAGGGCTCTGGTATTTATAGGTGAAATACTTCTTTAATTGTGGGAAATATTGTTTTCCCCTTTTTCTGAAAACAGAGAAAAACAGGAAAGAAATAGTGCTAAGGAGCACATGAAGAGAGCCAACAAAACCAAATACTAGGAAACAATGTTGTATAAACTGAAGTCTGTTATTTAGCTTGTCAGGGGACCAATGAAAGACAAAGACAAGGCGTTCACCCTAATAGTTTGTCCATTGGTCATTATGACGAGAAGTCTGCACAATAAAGAAACAAAAGGATCTATTTACTTTTCAAATAAGTAATCTGCTAAAGATGATGTGAATAATCTGTTTCACACCTTTGCCATACTCTTCTTTTGAAACTCCATCCCGCTTTCTCACTTACACACACACACACACACAGACAAACAAAAACACACAATCGCACTTCCCTGCGTACAGTTCTAACACCTCTCGGCGGTGATGATCTCCGTGGCTCCACTTCTAGAAATCTGCCTCACTGAACCCAACAGCCGTTTTGACTTCGCTCCCGTGGGTGCTGATTGGATTGAGATGAACACGGACAAAAGATGTTTATCAGATAATTACAAACAGGCGGAGAGAGCCCGAGACTCATTTGGTAACCAGCATTTAAAAAGAAAATCGGTATGTTTTTTTAATTATGAATGCATTTGGAAATAATCTCATCGTTGAAGCTCAAAAACAACCCTGTAAAAAGAGAGTGTGTGTGTGTAATAATACATGGGTTGCTGTGTAGAGGAGCCTTTTCCCTGCAGACATTTTGACTTTTCATAGCAGTTACCAACAACGCAAACAATGGCTGTTCTATTTAAGTGTTCCAATAAGTCATGGCAGCGTGCCAGTGAGCATGTACAACGCCGGCACGCTGGAACTGAAGAAGCTAAAGAGATTTGAGGTAATATCATTTTACGGTTGCAAAGTTTCTCTTGCATAAACATACAAATAGTTAGTTTTTCCGTTTAGTTGGGATGTTTTTGAAGCACATCCATTTGTGTGAACTGAGACCCTTTGATGCACACACACACACACACACACACACACACACACAGACACACACTGTAACTCCCATCTGCGTGTCGTGACAAGGGAACTTGCATTGAACCATCATTGAAAAACGGCACGTTCGACCGTGAAATGCAGCGACAACAGAAATGATGGACCAAGTCCGGTCCAGTTAAAGCTGTGTGACAGCGGCGTCTCTACACAGAGGAATCCCTAATCCGGACGTGCACGTTCCCCCCAAGTCGGTAAGTAGAGCGGATGAGAGGAGGTCAGCGCACAGACAGACTGTGAGCTCACTCTGCAGGTCCATCGGCCCGCGCTGTCACTCATGTACTCCCTCAGGGGACGGGGAGAGGGGTGTTCCACCTGACCTGAAAACAGCCCGTTATAGTTGTAGCCGATTCCTCGGTGGGCCACAAGCGTGTCCCGAACTGTCTGGCAGCACACTGCCGTCAACGCACGGCACTCTCCACCGGGCGGGAGGGAAATGCACGTATGACAGCAGCAGAGACCGAACGGAGCATAAGAACGTATAAGGCGACTGCGAGTTGTGCACAAGCAGCAGAGGGCTCAAGGACGAAAAGGCCCGGTTCAGCTGTGTGAGGTGGGCGGTTCAACAAACAGCTTCATGTTTAAATGGATAAGAGGGAGTGGGGGGGGGGCGCAGACCTGTCTGAGATAAATGCACATCAGCATTTAACCCCTCACACATCACAGGACAGTGCTCTTACGCTCTCACTCGATATGCAATCACGGTGAAGCGACCCCCAGGAACACCGGGACGGAGCGCGAGCGGTCAGGCGAGGAGTGCGAGAGACAAATCCTTTGTGAGCAAACTCGGCATTATCCAAATATAGTGGCAAAAAAGTGGCGTGTTTTTTTTTTTTTTTTCCCCTTTCTCGTCCCAGAAACAAGCCACTGTTAATGCTCATTTCATGGCTGAGAACGCAGCCCCTCAAAAGTGAGCCGCAGAGGGTGCGACGATAAGCATCTCCTCCACACGACGCGATGTTCTCGCCACGCCGGAAGACAGAAGCAGGTCACTCAGGTCGACGCCGCGGCCACGAATCCGCTGCTGAATAAGCCTCGAGCTTCAGGAGGCCACAATAATCACACACACAGCACCAGCTGACAATAACAAAACACTCCAAGGCTCCTCGAGGCGTGACGGCAAGAGACCTGCACAATTCATCTCCACATGCGAACACGGGACCCTTTCACAGCGGAACGGGTTTGTTTGTTGCGTGTCTGCAATTTGTGGGACGTCTTTGGGGGGGGGTGTTAATGCACACCAAGTAGACGGCACACCTGATCAATATGTGATTGTGGTGGAATGAGACAGACTGCCTGTCCTTCTGTCTGTCTCCCTGTCCTTCTGCCTGCATCCGAGGCTGCGGGGCCTGTTTGGTTTGAGCCTCCGTCCTCCATCATAGGAGGAGAAACCCGCAGGCTGTGGCGTGACGCCTAAGCGGACACGCCCCCTCCCTCCCTCCCCTGCAGGCGGTGGCGTCGAACCAGCGACGCCGTGGTAAACAAGCGGCGGCTGCTCTCCGTAGTGACCGAACCCACCGTTACGTCCCAGTTCACCGGCAACGAGCCCTGCGGAGCACACTGACAGATGACTGCACAACTGGCATCTTAATCAAACCAGCGACGCACGCGCACGCACGCACACACACACACACTCACTCCCAGGCACGCGCACGCACTAACGCACTCCGCCCCGCCCCTCCGCGTTCGCCGTTCCTCACCTTGCTTGACACACTTGAGGCGGACCGGGTCCTTGCAGTGCTTAATCACGGCCAGCACGTCCCGGGTGGTGAGCCCGGCCACCGGCATGTTGTTGACCTCCAGCAGCAGCTCATCCTGGGCCAGCTTCCCGCTCTGGAGCAGACCCTTGCCCTGCCTCACCTCGCCGAAGTAGGGGAACTGGCCGATCTCCGCGCCCCCCCTCAGCTCGAACCCGAGCTCGCCGTCCTTGCCGCGGGTGATCGCCGCTTCGTGGACTTTGTTGGTCCAGTGGTTCTTCTTCTTGAGGCTCTTAGACATCGTTGGGGCTCGAGTCGATCCGCCGCGCACTGGCCCGCACGCTAGCCCCTCCTTACCGTGTCATCGCAGTCCCTCTTTTTGTGCGAACCGGGCTGCAGCCTCACAGCGGCTCCATCGTCCCCCGTCTCCCCCCCCGTCCCCGAGCGGCCAGGCGCGGCGGCGGAAAAGACGAAAAAAGGATTTACCACCGCGGTCGAACACACGGACGCGAGTGAGACGAGACAGCAGCGGGATGACCCGGATGTGAAGCCCGACGGAGGGGAGAAGGCGAGTGGTTCTGGTTCGGCGCGGGGAGGATGGAGAGGAAGCGAGGGAGGCGGGCGGGGGGAGTAACAGCGGAGGCGCGCTTGCCTCGCACACTTCCCCGGGATCGCTGCGACCACATGGAGGCGGGACTTCGTCTCACACTACGCGCACCTCACCCCCCCCCCACTCGGTATTTTGGAGGATTCTTTCGGGGGGGGTCCAAACATGCAGTGTACTATGAGACTTTGTGAGAGTAGTATTGTTTTTTATATGATATATGCAGCATGCTATGCAGATTCGTATGTACCCACAATTGGAGACATCTGATTGTAGTAGTTATTTAGTTGATTTGTTGTTTTACAGGTTTGCTTTGGCATCCTTAAATGTTAAGCTAGAAAGTATCTGCACTTAATTTGGATGCACCCTGTGCACTTAACTTCATAAGTTACATAATTGCTATGATGCCATCGATCCACACAAAATGACACATCTTTTTGTTGCCATTACTTTTTCATGGCAGCATGACTCTCCGAAGCGGGTAAAGTTCCATATAATATTTAGCAGATAAATCAAGAGCTGCTGAAATCTACTGTGGATGACGGTGCCTCCACTCAGCAGCAATATGTGTGTGTGTGTGTTTTCAGGGCACGCATGTGCTTTTGAAATGTGAGTAGCCTCCCTACAAACCCATATTACTACATACAACCCCCTGTGCATTTCCAACCAGTAAATAATTCATGAAGTGGATCCACTTTTGACAGTCACTGGCATCCGGGTCACGGCGAACCCTTCTGACATCACCTCTACACCGACGAGGATGCAGATGATAGTTCAATAACTAGTGATTGTATGAACCAGAAAAGTGGCCGAATTTACGAGAGTAAATATCAAGAGGGGTAACAAATCCCTTCATCCATGCTGGTGGACGTCTGCGGCTTCAAGAGTCACACTGAGACAGCTCAGGGTTGAGGGACTACAGTTGATGGAGGACTCAGACTCTGCAGGTTTTCACTCTTTCATATGACTGGTCTATCAAAGCGTGGAATCCGATGCCTCTTCCGAAACGGAATGAAGATCTGGCCCCTTCTTGCTTTGGGCGCATACATATTATCTCTGTGTGTGAAGGACACTAAATGCTTCTCTTCTGCTCATCTGTATTTTTGGATCAGAGTATTTCACCACGTAGGAACGTTCCTTTTTGAAAAGAAGGACGACAGAAGAACAAAAAGAAAAGCCATCCGCTGTCGAAAGCTTTGAGCTGGAGCGTCTGCATTTGTAGTCCCTTCGAGCAACTCGTCGCCACTCTAATTTTCTCTCGACACAACACAGCAGTCACTCAGAGACTGAGTGGATACTCTCATGTTGACACAGTGCCAGGAGGTGGTGGGCTTACGCGAGCGCCCAACAGCAGCACAAAGTTGTACGAGGCGGCTAAGGGGAGAAACCTGGCTTTGAAAACGGCGCATGCATTATCTTTTATTTTCTCAAAGCTGCAACAACTCCCGTCCCGTCTTTCACTCTCTGCCAGAACATTAATGATCCAAAAAAAAGCGGTTGTTTTATTCGGTGTGATTGTGTAAAAACAGAAGCATCTGCAGAGGCTTCCACAGGCTGACTGTGGCCATATTTGTGACTCTATAGACACCGGGTGGGTGAGGAAGAGGAAAGAAAAGGATATTACTTTATATCATCATTATAGACAGAAAGCAATGAGCATCCTAAAGCAGACTGCCAACTACAGAAGGGAAAAATACAGTAACACGCTGCAGTGTGCGCACTCAGAGGGGGAATTTCAATAGAGCTTATATGGATTTAGCTCACTGCCTCGCTCATTGACTCTCTGCTTCATGCACACAAGGTTGTTTCTTTAGCTGGGACAAGGCAAAATCTTCTATTTTGAGAAAAACACACAAAAACATGACGACCACCCGACGTCTGGTGAGACAATTAAAACGTTGAAATGGAATAGACAGCAGTTGGTAACCCGGGAGTGTGGTGGACTGGAACAGCAGTTAAACATCAGTTTCAAACACGTGCACACGCACAAATGCATCACACACGCAGGATAAATTAATTAGACTGGATGGCTTTAGGGAATTGCCAACTAAATCACATCGGCTTTTTTCTCCAAGCTCACAATGTGAGTTAATTATGTAGAGAAACTGGTGATGGTAGAGTACACCTGCAGAAAGAACCACTCCATCGCACACACACTTCCCAGTCGGTGGCTCAGCAGAACAGCTGGCTTAACTTTGTCCAAAAACCTCCCAACACCACTAACTATTATGTCTGTATTCAGCTTGTGTAAAACACCTTCAAATAATTCACAGGCTAAATGTTACCCTCTATAATCCTGATTCTTCAGTTTTCAGAAGCCTTGGTGGGCTTGACCCGTGTTTATGGTCTTGTCGTGCTAAGATAACCTCATATATTTCCATATACTTACATCAATCTTCAAAGAGTTTGAACTACGTTTATGTATTGGGTTGGACTTTTGCTCCTTGGTCAGCTGCAGGCCGCCACCACGTGCAGTTTGATCACCATCCTCATCTCTCTCCTCCGTGCTGCACCACGCCTTCGCCTCGAAGAAGCTTCGAGTCCACGCTCTTTGATTTCCCGGGGAGGGCTTCTGGGATTAGCTAAATTACTCTGCAGTTAGTTTTTAAATCACACAATGCCTCCCAAAAATAGTATCCTCTCAGCTAATGCCTAATCGTTGCACTCGAGCAGTGACGGCTTAGCCAAGTCTGCGAGACAGGAGTCAGCCTGGTCATTGCTGTGACTCATTTGTTGGATGTTAGTGGCCATCATCATCTGAAAATGAAAAATGACTGGAATAGGACAGTTGTAACGATAATCCCATCACTATCTCCAAACCAATTTCTTCGCCAGCTCATCGGCTCATGAGTACTGGGAGAGATCCCGGGCCACAAAGTTTCTTTAAAGCACCACAGCTTGGTAGAAAATCACTCATTCTAGCTCAGGAATAATTAGTCCTAATCTTGGGGCGTTTCCAACGGAGATTTAATGAACGAGGCCAATTCATCTTTGTCGCGGACAATCTGTTAATTATATTAAATCTTGTGATTAGATTTTCCTCAGTTGTCTCCTTTGTAATCATCAAGCAGCGACCAGACTTCATCATTACAGGCAGTTACACCAGTGGACCACTAGAGGGAACTAGACACTGTGAAACGCTACTGGCAGCTGAGGTGAGCAGATGGCTTCTAGGACAAACATTAAAGTCCATTTGCAAATGTATTGACAATTTTTATTTTTGTTGAAACGCACCTGCCAGGCTTGTGATCTGAAACTAGGAGGACAAAACAACTGAACACAACTTCCCAGAGGAGGAGGAGACATCTTATGATCAGCACATGTGCTAATGGATGCTATATTTGGCATGGAGTAGCTTTCCTGTGAAGACTTTCCAAGTAATATACTGGATTGATTGTCTAAAGAAAACATGTCTGACGAATTATTAAGCAGAGCGGGGTAGTTAGGAGACTCTTTGAACAATTTCTGCAGGGCATTTATTGAGAATCTTTTGTCTACGAAGGCACTAAAGAACTGGCCCTCGACAGTTTTCAGGTTCTATTCCAGACGTTGGACAAAAGCTGCTTGCTGTACTTCTGTAAATAAAATGGGATATTTGGCATCGCTGAAACACGTATTCAAAAGCATGTGTTTTTCCCCACATGTAGGTGTAATGCAGTTCATCTTTACTACCATATCTTTGACACAAAAAAGAATACTAGTTTGTTGCATAAGCTGCCATAGTTTTACCACAGCAGCTCTTTTATTAGCAAAATCATGGAGATTAGTCCACTAATGTGCCCATCCAATGGAAACAGAGGGTTGGGGGGGTCCAGGGGCGGGGGGGGATATGTAACTTGAAACCATCACACATCACGATCATCAGCAGTGCACCTAGACATGACGGTCTGTCTGTGCACTGAACACGGATCTACACGTGGTCCTACCATTTGCTACAAGGCCGCCATTGGCATCCTCTTTTCAAAGCTTCTCTTTGCTTCTGGACTCAATAAAGGAATGTTACAGTTTGTCGAGGCGCACCAACACCGCGCACTCGTTAATTTACAGAGTAGCTTCTTTTTGGTTGCTTAGAAAAATAAAACTTTGAAAGAGGATGACAAGTAGAGGAATAAAGTCCCTTTGTTTTTCCATTGTGCACACGTTCTCTCGCTCTCTCTCTCTCTAACACACGCAATCTCACACACACAATCACTCGCGCCGGCTTTTGGCCTAAAATCGAATCGAAGCTCCAACTTTCATGCAAATCTCACATCCGAAAAGTTTTCCCACACGCCTCTCACAGTATGTCAGAGTGAATTGGTCTACAGAGTGACTTGGTCTTGTTTGGTTTGTCTAAGGACGCAAAAAAAAAAAAAAAATTATATATATCTATGATGCCACAACGACAGCATCCGAAAGAAACAGTTCATATGGAGAGGGGCGGCTCGGGAGAGAGTTCAATGGTAACATTTACATAAACCTAACATCTAACTCAACAAAAAGAACACACACTGCAACTAAAGCATGCAAGGCACAAAGACCTACAAACGAACGTGTTCATTCATGGAAAAAAATAAAATAAGTCAAGGCCCCCCCCCCTTTATATAAAATAAGGACAATAAAAAGGTAAAACAAGCAACTGTGAAAAATACCCATCCATAGACAGTTGTACAAATATATTTTACACAAAATGTTTTCTACACACCGTCTTTAAAACTTTTAGAGATGAACATAAGTTAATAAGAGGTTAAAAGTGACATTCTCAGCAGGGTCCACGAGGTTCCCTCCAGTCCGAGTCCCCTTGAATAAAGCCACTCGGCATGCCGGCGACCAGGCCGCCTGGACAAAAAGAGGGAGACAAAAGACACCGCGATGAGAGGAGGACAACGCGACAGAACACGCCGCACTATTTGCCCGGCTCGGCCCGGAAGCGGCAGGCGGTACCTTTAGAAAAGGCCACAGTCCTTCAGGTTGTTCTTGATGATGACGTCGGTGACGGCATCAAACACAAACTGCACGTTCTTGGTGTCGGTGGCGCAGGTGAAGTGGGTGTAGATCTCCTTGGTGTCCTTTCTCTTGTTCAGGTCCTCAAACTGGCACTGGATGTAAGCTGCTGCCTCCTCGTAGGTGTTGGAGCCTGAAGGAGGACGAAGAGGACACAATGAGAAACAGAGCAGAACAGAGTTTAATCAAATGTAATTAGAGACATTCTCTCTTTCTCTTTGTAACGGACATACAAAATCAGAAAAGTATCACTCGGTATTAACTGAAAAGGGTTTAGTATACTTGGATAAAAAAACTTTAAACTATAACAACAACACCACTATTACCTTAATAATATGAACATAATGTAATTGCCAATAGAATTAAATGTACAGCTGTGGTTTTGGATGCCCTTAGATTGTCCAGGTGCACCCAGTAAGGGAAATAGTGACTTTTTTTAATTAGCTTGACTGCAGCATGTATTTAGCAAACGGCAGATCAACCTACATGACACAGCTTCATTGATACTGTGCTCGTTTCATCGGACGATGGTGGGATTTGTTGTTGTACTGGGAATAAGAGGAAGGGGATGCGTTTTTGGTTTTTGCTGCATAAAAAAAGCGACTTGTACGATGAAAGGGAATCACGTGGGGGTCTGCTGGTTGTGGGCCGTTAACCTCGTAGCTAAACAACCAACGTTTATATTGAGCGTGGAGACCTTGTTTCGAACCTCAAATGCAGACATGTTTTGTCGGGTTTTAGATTTTAAAAAACACATCTGTGAGGAGTGTGAATAAATCCAACAAAGATACATTGTTAACAACATGACGCAGCCCACACAATTCAAGAGCAGAGGGGAGAATAAAGACACATCTTTGTGTCAGCAGCAGCCTGCAGCTCCCTAAAGTGGCAACAACGGGCCGACTAAAAGCACAGAACACCAAAGCAACGTGCGGTTACGATTATGTAGCATTCTACATAATCATATTTGGATTGCATAGCCATGTATAAAAAGCATATCATACCACATTAGCCCTTTACCTATAAAACCGTAAATACATTGTGTTTCATTGCTAAAGCCTTAGAAGCTGTTGAATTTATGTGACCGAACAAAACGTTGTGAAGCTGCAGACAATCTTACTAATAAATACCAGATATACTTACTGGACTAAATGGTTCATGTGCAACACTAAGCATACAAAGTACAGTATTTGCATGTCAAACACAAATGATCTTCATGGAGCGTTTCTGTTCTGTATGTGGGTCTCTGGCTCGCTCACCTGCATATTCTGGGTAGCAGATTGTGAGAGGGCTCTTTTTGATCTTTTCCTCAAACAGGTCTTTCTTGTTGAGGAAGAGGATGATGGAGGTGTCCGTGAACCACTTGTTGTTGCAGATGGAGTCGAACAGCTTCATGCTCTCGTGCATTCGATTCTAAAGGGGAGAGAGAGAGGACACGGCGGTAACCAACCGGAGAGTTCTGAACAAACGGAATGAATGACTGTGGCTGCGTGGGCGGGTCTAACCATCTCCTCGTCCTCAGCCAGCACCAGGTCGTAGTCACTCAGAGCCACACAGAAGATGATGGCGGTGACTCCCTCAAAACAGTGAATCCACTTCTTCCTCTCTGATCGCTGCCCGCCCACATCAAACATTCTGCAGAAAGACCACAGACATGAATAATTTGCCACACAATCAAATGCCCGCTCGTATCAATGAACGGATCGATTGGGAGTCATGATTCAGCTCAGCGACTGGAGCAAATGTGGTGGTCGTACTGACTTGAAGTGCAGGTCCTTGAAAGTGAAGTGCGTTTCCACAATGCCAGTGGTTTTGACTCTGGTCCTCAGCACATCCTGTTGGGTGGGCACATAAGCACCGTGGGATATCCTGTCCAAGTCATTCAGGTAGCTTTGGGAGGGGAGAAGACACACAGGAAGAAGTTATACAAAAACGTTTGCAGACTGAGAGCGGAGAGCGCCGCTCTGTACGCTCCCACGCGGGTCACCGCGTGCGCGTCAACTCACTATGCAGCGGAGTCGTTGAGCTGATACTCGCGGGAGCGGCCGAAGCAGGCCTGAACGCCTCCGTCCTTCCACAGCCGCTGGATGACCCCGGCCAGCTCGCCGGTCATGAAGCCCTCTTCTGCCGAACCGGCCAGGACGAACAGCTGGCGCGCATCATCCTAACGAAAGAAAGACCCCCACCCCCAATCAGTCACGGCCAACGATTTTGTCACATAAAAAGGAGAGTTAACTTTGCCAAAAGACGAATTACATTAGATTCCGAACGAAACTGAATTAAATCAGGTTGGTGAAAGCACAGTAAAAGCTCGCACTAAGTGAGGACTTAAAAAGGTGACAAATCAGGTTTGAAAAGCAACACGGCATCTTCAGCAGGTCAGGTGCCAGGAAATAATGATCTGCTAAAGCATGAAAGCAACAAGGAAAAGCTTTGTCAGGGCAAGCATGACTCAGCCACTTGTTATTGCAGGGAACTGATTTACAAAAAAGAAATAAAACTTTCGCAAAAACAAGAAATGAAAATGACCCAGAATGATGCCGTTTTTAGTGCTTATAAAAGGTACATCAATTATACAACATAAAACCAAATGAGCAAAAATGAAGCCAAACAGAATTGATTATTACTGTCAAACTCATTCTTGTTGCCAGGCAGCTCGTCACACAGTTGACATTCAGTGTGACGTATCGACTCAAGGATCCACCGACACTTGTCCCGTCAGTAAAGCCTCTGCTTCAGTGAAACGGTTTGAAAGCGATTCTAAACCCCCCCCCGGCTCCATCTGACCTGCTGCTGAGGAGGAAGTGAGAAGAAATTAGCCCAGTGGGGAAGGGTGACATATGACTAGTGGTTTCCCTCGTGGCGCTGACCTACAGAAATGCACACAAAATGCAACCTGTGATGTCCCTAAGAACGGCTTAAAGGCCGGCTCGGTTCTCTCACACACCGCTCTGGCCGGGTCAGCAAAGTCGATCTTGAGGCGTCCCATAGCTCTGATGATGGCGATGATGGACTGGATGGTGTTGCTGTAGACCACGGCCTTGTACTGCTTACACTCCTCCTCTGAGTAGCCCGCCTCATGGATGATCCTGGCACACAACGGGAGAATATTAGCACCGTGTCTCCAGGCAGCCTTTTCAGGGATTTCGTTCATAAAATAGATTGTTACGGTAGATTCACAGTTTTTAAGATGAGAATGGATGAGGATTTTAAAACTAACCAGTGCTCCCTAGCAGTCAGTATCGCATAGCAAGAATATCTCCACAGCGCCGTGTCAACACTAACGAAAGGTCTGGCTCAACACATTATCATCAGCGAATGGTAGAAGAAAAAAAAAGGATCTGGATAGTTGCAAATTCTTTAAATTAATCACAATCGTCTTGGCACTAGCGAGCACAAGATTCTTCGGCGGTTTCCGAGAAGGGGAGAAGAAGGCTTGTGAAATGTGAGGCCAAAAAGCAGTGATAACCCCACAGTTTATTTGTGGTGAGTCACTCGTAATTTTTATTAATCTCATAAAATGGAAGCTTTTGGTGACCAATATGGGAGAAATTGCTTTTTGATAGTTATGCAAATCATTTTTATATACCTACGGCCATATTCGTGTATGCATTTGTGTATAAAAGTGTTAAATCAATGCCAATGACTGCATCATGTTTCCCGCGGTGAAGCTCAATGCACTGATACTACAGGACTGCAGAGAGCCTTCACTCCTTCCGCCGCAAACTACAGACGCACCTCTTCAGACTCTACCTCGACTAAAAGACTAACAAATTGAAGCTCTTAAATTGTACTTGTAACGCCACTTATCTATAGCAAATTGGCTTATTTGAGAAAATTGCACTTTCTTGCTCTTCTGAGTTTGTATCTCTACGGTTGAATGCACTTATTGTAAGTCGCTTTGGATAAAAGTGTCAGCTAAATGACATGTGATGTAATTTGCCAGAAATCCAAATTTAGAAGATTTTAGAAAACTAGTTGTACAAAATACATTAAAAGGGACTGACAAAGTGTTAAAATTCAGGGTGTTGACACTTACTTCATCTGTTTAACAATTGTACTTTTCCCAGACTCTCCAGCACCTGAAACAGAACAGATGGCCCACAAGATCAAATTATAGTCAAAACAGTGGCAGGATTTTAATTATTTTGAATATAAAAATCAAAAGATATCCAACAAGAAGGCACACTATTCGCAAACCCCTAAGACTTTTGGCTGTACAGTCTGTGTTGCATCAGAATACTTTAAATGATCCTTGTGGTTTAAGTCCTCCGTCAAGACTGTCATTCATTTACGCATCGTGTGTTCAAACATGTCCAGACTTGAAAACGAAACAATAAATATGTTGATGTGCCTCCTTCTCAAAACACAAATCAGA